CCAATGCCCTGCCTGCTTATCTCTGGAGTTCTCCAGGGATTGATTGGCCTGGCCTGGGCTGGAGTGGGGCTTAGATAGTGTGCTGAGCTGCATTTTTAGTTCAGTAGCCAATCCCAAACTTGCTGAAATGGGCTGAGGTGTAGCCCTCAATGACATTGCACTTCCCACCCCCTGCCTGATATGAAGGCATCTAGTGGGCTCTCTAGTGGGCATACAGCAGAGCCAAAACCCTCGTTAGCTAAAGCAGCCCTCTGCGAGTGGCCTTCCTGGACAATGATTACTGGGATCGTACCCTAGGTTCTGGGTTGGCAACAGGCTGTCGTGTGGCCTGTGCCATCCTCTCTCCTGTATAAATGACGATAGCATGGGCCCATTCTTAAGCTCTAAACTTGGAGTAGTTGGCTCAGGAAGGGGACTACCCTAGGGCCTTCTTATGCCTAGTGATCTCAGCAAGGTCCAAGACGCCGTCTGGGCTGCTAAACTAATGGAACTCTAGTTTTAGAAGAACCTCAGAAGGCAAGTAGTCTCACCCCTTCAGTTTAGAAGTAAGGCAACAGAGAGGAGACGTGGCTTGTACAGGGTCACAAAGCACATCCATGCTAGGAATAGGAAGGAAAGCCAGGCACTGAACTCTATTTTAGCTGCTTATTCAGTACATCATCCCACCTGTTTCCTGATCATTCAGCCAGCCAGTCACGGCCAGGGATGCATGTGGACTGGAGGTGGGTGTGGCCAGAAAAAGGGCATGGCGATTACTGTGTTTCACAGATCATTTTTAGAAAGTAATTTATCACGTCATAATTGATCAATGTAGAAGGCAATATGTGAAGCAAAATTGCTATAAGAATTCACTAGATTGCACAATTGACTGAGTATGTAAATTGCTAAAGCAGTTGGAGCTTGGAGATTCCAGAGCAGAAGGTCAAAAACCTCCTGGTGGAAATTCTCTGAAGGGTGATTGTCAATGTGGAACAATCACTGGAATGTTCCAGGGATTGTGCAAATCAGAGCAACCCCCTTGAGGTTGTTTGGTATGTCTGTCGCTCGCTAACCAACAGACTCATATATTCACTCTCTCATTCATTTATCCATCCATGATGCATATGCTGAGCTCTGACTCTTGCTGGGCCACTTTTTCTTTTCGAGTCCTGCTTTCCCAAAGCCAAGTTATGGAGTGGGGTTTGGTCGCCCTAGTTTGCCATAAATAATCCCCAGGAAAGACAAAATTGTATACTCTCAAGTGGCCACTGCAGCACTATTTGTAAAAGTGGTATATGGAGCTACCTAAATAAGACTGCTGCTGAAATCTCTCAGGGCCCATCACTGGTATATGATGTAGCAGTTAAAAAAGCTGGATATGAAGACAATGTAGAAGTATGTAAAATGCTTATGATCAGTAAAAAAACAAACCAAACCAAACCAAACAAAAAAGTCTTCTAGAAGGCAGGACTGTCTAGATCACTGTTATATCCATGTAAAACTGTGGACAGGGGCTGGAGAGGGGTTTCTCAAAATGAAAGTAATGGCTTTATTGTGGGGATGTGGTTGTGAATCCTTCTGCTTTCCTAATTCCATATGATGTTGCTTGATTGATTTTATTTATTCACTTAAAGGGAGACAAAGCCCAGTGTCTGCAGTCAAGGCAATGTGGTGCAGTTTTGGTCTTCTGCCAGCAGATGGAGATACCCCACTTTCTGTTTTCTGGCAGTCGTGCCACCAGCAGACAGCTTTGGTCTCTGCCTGAAGGTCCTGCAGATTCTCTGCATTTTTATTTAAATATGTAACCATGACTGCTCCAGCACAGGATGAGCCCTGGAAGTTATTTCTGATCAAGCTATTTGGCTTCCAGGGAGCAGATCCAGGTTTTATAGGACATGAAGCTTATACAATTTGGGGGACCTCTTTGAGAAAAATAATTCAAAATTACAAATACAAAATCAAGTTCAGAGTCTTGGAAGGGGGTCCCTGCTAAAAGGACAATTTAGCTGAATCTTTATTAGCTTTCCAATAAATCCACCTGAGATTTCTGCTTTTCCGTAGCCTGTGTGGCCTGGGGAGTAAGGGAAGACCAAGGGCTCCTTGAGGGAGGGCTCATGTCTTCATTCTCATCAGGCATTGGTAAACGGTCATTGTCTGTCTTGTTCTTCTTAGTATGATGCTTACTGTCTAGTAGCTGCTCAGTGACTGGGGCTTAAATGAAAAGAGGCAGAAACAGGGGCTAGGAGGAAGTCTGGAATTCAAACCCACTTTGTGGGGAAGGGGAAGCTTGAAAGTGATGCCTCTTTATTTCATTCTTGTGAGGATGTCAACTGGATGGATGGCAATAGCCAGAAGGAGTGCTATGAGTTAAATAGCTGGAAGGCCCCTTCAGCATGAAATGGGTAAAGGAAGTTTTTCCTTTAAATTCTCCTATGGGCAAATAGTTACATCTATGATGCACCTTGACTGCCTGTCTTATTTCCTTCTTGTATTTTATATACAGGTAGGTTTCAATCTTCCATAGTACAAGGATTCCAGAGGTTTGCTACTTTGCACTTACCTTTCTGTCCATAGCAATGATCAATCCTCCTCTTAGCCATCGCACCTCCTGGCATCATATCACTGCTTATTCTGGTCTTTGTTGAGTCAATCAGCATTGGTGTCTGGTTCTTATAATTTTTATACCTTGTCCCTAAGGATGACACACTGAATAGGCTTCCCCATTGTCTTCCCTCCCTCACTATATTATTTTGGTTAGGCTAGACTGCAGTAATAAATAAACCCACACATCTAATGAATGAACACAGTGGCCGTTTATTCCTAGCTTGTGTAACAATCCAGGATGGTCCCAGATTGGCAGCAAACTCTGTTTTATACAGTCATTCAGAGGCCCAGGCTGTAGGAAGCTCTGCCTTCTTTAGCATATGGCTTTCAGTAGCACGGTGGTTATCTCCAACTTAATTAGGCAGAAGGGGGAAAGAATGGAAGAGTGCATATTGGGGTTTCTTTAATGGGCAAAGCTTAGAATTGGCATACCTTGCTTCTGTTTAAATTCCATTGGCTAAATCTCAATGATATGGCCACATATAATTGCAAAAGAAGCTGGGAAATGTAGTTTTCTGTGTATTCAAGAAGAAGAGGAAGACAATTCTGGTGAATCTACACAGCACAGCAGACATAAGTGAGCAGTCTAGGTTCCTCCCAGACATTAATTTTAAATATTGGAGTAAAAATGTCTTTATTTCTCCCTGAAGCCAAATTTGAAAAAGGAAAAATGAGAAATCCCTTTTTGTTGTTGGAACCAGGAAACACCTATAATCACGAACCACAAAAATAAGATGAAATGTCACATTCAGTGAACATTGGACTAGGGTGATGGGGATTCTATTACAGGATAGGTGCCTTTCCAGATATTGGGGAGAGCTGGCAGAGTACAAATTTCTCCAAAGTAGGTGGTCTACTCTGAGGGTAAGCCCAATGGTCTTTTACTTGGAACGATGACTGGGTGCATGTTTGACTGCAGAGGCCCTCTGGATCCTCTTGGATTTAAAATGGCAATGAAGATAGAAATGAGTGACAAAACTCACCAATGCTCCATCTTTGTAAATGTGCAGCATGTGGAAGAAAACTTGTGGGTGTTAAGCGGCTCTGTAATGGTCATTCTTTGTGAGCTAAAAAGAAAAAAAATGGTCAAATCACCTCTCAGCCACTGACTCTGTATCACACAAAAAACACATCCACAAAACCCACTCGACTATCTTGTCTCCTAAGACCATGAATCATAAAGGACTTTACTAGGAATCAGGGGATTTTCTGCTAACCTGGAACATTGCCCTGGGCATCTTCCACACCATTCCTTTCAAATATCTGCTCAAGGAAGGTTTATGCTCACTCAAGGATGACGAATAATGAAAAAGGAACCAGGGGATCTTACAAAAATATCACAAAATGGTTGAAAATAAAAGGACAAAAAGGCAAAGTAAGCCTACACAGCATGAACATTTTGATGTAGAGCTGATGAAAATCATGACTAAATATTTGTCTAAGAATTCAAAGAACTTAACAAAAGAAGTCCCTGTGGATTAAAAGCTCAATACATAAGGAATCAAGAAAGGCAACAGGAGATTAAAACTGAGCTGGTTGTGTCCAGGGCATAAAGTAGAAGAGAAAACTAAAATTATCACAAATTATGGCTACCTTGCAAATAGCAGATGATGACATTGTATCATTATACTATTAACTAATGTAATAGTAAACACTGAGGACAACAGGAGTATGGATGGCAGCCTTCAGACAATCGAGCAAAATGAAATGGAAATTTAAAAAAATTATTAGAGAAAAATTGTTGACATGGAAGACAGGCAAAGGAATATTTTTCTTGAAGAAAAACACAAAAAAATAGAAAATATTCAAAGATGCAATTTTAAAATCTTATCTGATATTAAAGATGATTTGAGTCTAATGATTGGTAAGGCATAGTATATCTTAAGGAAAAAAAGATTAGCACTGAATCATAGTCTAGTAAACTTTCCTGAGTTAAACGATAAAGGAGACAAATCTTATGGGCATCTAGGCAAAAATGATCAAACTACCTATAACAATAAAATAAATAAAAAAACCCCACAAGTTGGCCACAGACTAATCCATATTCAACATTAGACAAGAGTGGAGGAATGCTTACAAAGTCTTCAGGAAAAGACAATATGACTCAACAAGTTTTACCAAACTAAGTTGCCTTTGAAGTATGCTGGCAACAGACAAACATTTCCAAATATATAAGTATTCATGGAATATAGTTTTCATGAATACTTTTTTAAAGAAGCTACTAAAAGATGAAGTTGAACCAAAAAATGAATAAGAAAACTGTGGCAAAAATAAATGTAAAATCGTGGTTAAATCTGGTCCCTGTAGAAACAATTATGAAAATTGTGATTAAAAGACAAAATGTAGAGTCTCATTGAATTCAGGGGCAGCTGTTGAGATCTCTCTTCTTTGCAAACCATATCTACACTGAGGCAATCATGTCTAAGGGACCTGTAGTTGTCATCGATCTTGGCATCACCTCTTTTTATGTGGGTGTCTTCCAGCATGGAAATGTGGAAATAATTGCCAATGATCAGGGAAGCTGAACCACCCCAAGTTATGTCATGATTACTGATATCGAACGATTGATCAGTGATACCACAAATAATCAACTTGCAATGAAGCCCACCAACACTGTTTTTGATGCCAAATGCCTGATTGTACATAGATTTGATGATGCTGTTGTTCAATCCTCTATGAAGCATTGGTTCTTCATGGTGGTGAATGATACTGGCAGGCCCAAGTTCCAAGTAGAATACAAGGCAGAGACAAAAAGTTTCTATGCAGAGGAAGTGTCATCTATGGTTTTGACAAAGGAAGGAAATTGCAGAAGCCTACCTGAGGAAGACTCTTACCAATGCTGTCGTCACAGTACCTGCTTACTTCATTGATTCTCAGTGTCAGGCTGCCAAAGGTGCTTGAACTGTTGTTAGTCTGCATGTACTTACAATAATAAGTGAGCCAACTGCTGCTGCCATTGCTTATGGCAGTGGGTCTCAACCTTCCTAATGCTGCGACCCCTTAATACAGTTCCTCATGTTGTGGTGACCCCCAACCATAAAATTATTTTTATTGCTACTCTATAACTGTAATTTTGCTACTGTTATGAATCGTAATGTAAATACCTGATATGTAGGATGTATTTTCATTGTTACAAATTGAACATAATTAAAGCATAGTGATTAATCACAAAAACAATATGTAATTATATATTGTGAAATATTTATAATTTATGAAGTGTCGTTTTACCTCCAATACTGCTGCTTTCAACACAGCAGCTGTTTTCTACACAGTAGCTGCTCTCTACACATGTGTGACTGGTCTGCATAAGTACATTATGGTGCCAACCCTGTCACATACACCTGTATTTGTGTATGTGATGGGGTTGGCGTGATGATGTCATCACGCCGGGTACTCATATGTGGGCGTATCTGCATGTGGGCGAACCTGCCTGGAGACGGATATAGGAGCGGTGTCTCGGTTCCTAAGACCATCGAAAATATGTGTTTTCCGATGGTCTTAGGTGACCCCTGTGAAAGGGTTGTTCGACCCCCATAGGGGTCACAACCCACAGGTTGAGAACTGCTGGCTTATGGCTTAAACAAAAAGGTTAGAGCTGAAACAAATGTGCTGATCTTTGACTTGGGAGGTGGCACTTTTGCTGTGTCAATTCTCACAACTGAAGATGGAATCTTTGAGGTCAAACCTACAGCTGGGGACACCCACTTAAGTGAAGAAGACTTTGACAACCAAATGGTCAATCATTGTATTGCAGAGTTCAAGCGCAAGCATAAGAAGGGCGTCTGTGAGAACAAAAGGGCTGTCCTTCACCTCTATACTGTTTGTGAACAACCTAAGCATACCCTCTCTCGCAGCACCCAGGCCAGTATTGAGATTGATTTACTCTATGGAGGAATCACCTTCTATCCCTCCATCACCCGTGTCTGATTTGAAGAATTGAATGCTGACCTTTTCTGTGGCACCCTGGTCCCTGTAGAGAAAGCCCTTCGGGATGCTGAGCTCAACAAAACCCAGACCTATGATATTGTCCTGGTGGGTGGATTCTTGGAACTCTGTATTCCCAAGATTCAGAAACTCCTACAGGACTTTTTCAATAGAAAAGAGTTGACTAAGAGCATCAACCCTGATGAGGCTGTTGCTTATGGTGCAGCTGTCCAGGCAGCCATCCTATCTGGAAACAAATTTGAAAATCTTCAAGATTTGCTGCTGTTGGATGTCACTCCCCTTTCCCTTGGCATTGAAACTGCCGGTGGAGTCATGACTGTCCTCATCAAGCGCAACACTACCATCGCTACCCAGCAGACACAGACCTTCACTACCTACCCTGACCACCAGCCTGGTGCGCTCATTCAAGTTTATGAAGGTGAGCGGGCCATGACCAAGAATAACAACTTGCTTGGCAAGTTTGTACTCACAGGCATACTTCCTGCACCTCATGGTGTTCCTCAGACTGAAGTCACTTTTGATATTGATGCCAATGACATTTTCAATGTCTCTGCTGTGGGTAAGAGTGCAGGAAAAGAGAAAAAGATTACCATCACAAATGACAAAGGTTGTCTGAACAAGGAAGACATTGAGTACATGGTCCAGGAGGCTGGGAAATACAAAGATGAAGATGAGGAGCATAGGGACAAGGCGTCTGCTAAGCATTCACTTGAATCCTATGCATTCACCATGAAAGCAACTGTTGAAGATGAAAATCTTCAAGGCGAGATCAATGATGAGAACAAACAGAAGATTCTTGACCAGTGCAATGAAATCATCAACAGGCTTGATAAGAATCAGACTGCAGAGAAGGAAGAATTTGAACATCAGCCGAGAGAGCTGGAAAAAGTCTGCAACCTCATGATTACCAAGCTGTACCAGAGTGCAGGAGGCAGGCCAGGAGGGATGACTGGGGGCCTCCCTGGTGGTGGAGACCCTCCCTGGTGGTGGTGCCTTTTCTGGGATCACCATCAAAGAGGTTGATTAAACCAACCTTGAGCATAGATACAACATTGTTCCACACAAAATATGTAAGGACCCACATTTGTAGCAAATTCCATGGCAGTTTTAAAGTAGAGCTGCTATATAGTAAGTGNACTCACAGGCATACTTCCTGCACCTCATGGTGTTCCTCAGACTGAAGTCACTTTTGATATTGATGCCAATGACATTTTCAATGTCTCTGCTGTGGGTAAGAGTACAGGAAAAGAGAAAAAGATTACCATCACAAATGACAAAGGTTGTCTGAACAAGGAAGACATTGAGTACATGGTCCAGGAGGCTGGGAAATACAAAGATGAAGATGAGGAGCATAGGGACAAGGCGTCTGCTAAGCATTCACTTGAATCCTATGCATTCACCATGAAAGCAACTGTTGAAGATGAAAATCTTCAAGGCGAGATCAATGATGAGAACAAACAGAAGATTCTTGACCAGTGCAATGAAATCATCAACAGGCTTGATAAGAATCAGACTGCAGAGAAGGAAGAATTTGAACATCAGCCGAGAGAGCTGGAAAAAGTCTGCAACCTCATGATTACCAAGCTGTACCAGAGTGCAGGAGGCAGGCCAGGAGGGATGACTGGGGGCCTCCCTGGTGGTGGAGACCCTCCCTGGTGGTGGTGCCTTTTCTGGGATCACCATCAAAGAGGTTGATTCAACCAACCTTGAGCATAGATACAACATTGTTCCACACAAAATATGTAAGGACCCACATTTGTAGCAAATTCCATGGCAGTTTTAAAGTAGAGCTGCTATATAGTAAGTGGCTGGACATTCTTGATACTTGAATATGGAATATGTACAGAGGGAAAGGAAGTAATGGTGCACTTTATAAGCACTGTATTGTAAAGTAGAAAACGCGATATCTTAAATAGAGCTATTTAAAATTGGCACCATAAAAAGAAAAGACAAAATGTAAATGTAGTCAACGATGATAATGGAGAAATACTAAAATAACCAATAAAAGTTAGGGGGTATAAGGGGAGAGAAATTGAGATTGTGCACCTAAGTTGGCTATCTTATTTTTCATAGTGAATGGAGGATTAAAATTTTTTAAAGATGGCAGTTAAAGTTTAAAAGGTATAAATATATTTTAATGCATAAAGTTAACCACTAAAAGAACTAGAAGAACTAAGACTAGTAGAATATCCCACAAAATTAAGAGGAGGAGGGAAGGGGAAGTTAGAAGTAGAGTTAAATTCATTTAGTTTGCTACTGCTATTGAAGAGTCGATACTAGCTAAATAAATAGAGGATTATGTAAAATACATAAAATTATTCTTACAAAGACATCCACTAGAGCTCAAAAAGAGATGATTCTTTTTTAAAAATAATAGAAGGAAATGCCATATTTAAGAAAGCAGAAAATCAAAGTTTAAAAAATGTAACCCTCATACTAAACATATCTACCATATTAATACACAGAAAAAGACTCTTATTGAGTTGAGAAAACAAAAGTCAGTTAAATACTGACTATATGGTTACTTTTGTAAAATGAAATGACTCAGAAAAATTGATAGCAATAGAATGGGCATCTGACACCCTACAAATATTTACAACATTATTGATTGTATTTCCTGAACTGTCTTTCATATCCCTGTGGCAATATTGTAGTTACCTATTTATGCTGTCTAATCCCTTCCCCTTCTCCCTCATCCCCACCCCCTCCCATCTAGCAACCATCAGTTTTTCCACATGTCTTGTTAGGGAACCACTTCATGGATGGGGTAGAGGCTTGATCACTGCACTGTACACCTGAAGCTGATGTTGTGTTATATTGTATGTCAGCTATTATTGAATATATATATATATATATATATATATATATATATATTCACAGGATGTGGAGTATAATGTGGGAGTGAAGTCAATGGAATTGTAATAGATATGTATGATATTTGAGGGGGGAATTGGGGCGGCGGATTGGGGGAGAGGAGTTGTCACTTTGAGGGGTAAAAAGTATAACTAGTGCACTGTGTTGTACACCTGAAACTAATTAAAAAATAGTTTTTCACAAAAAAAGAAAAAAAGTCTATAATAATAATGAAAATAACTATAGTTTAGAGCCCCTTCCAATTCTGAGATTCTAGTATGTTTTGTATATTTCATACAAATTTTCAATTTTCAGATAAAAAATAATTAAAGTGAGTTTCTTCTAAAAAAATTGCTATCAGGCAAGGCTGAATTTAAGGAAAATGAGATAAAGAAGGCCAGGGTACACCACATAATGAAGGTCTAACAGCAATAACTATGCACTAAGTAACATGTCGTCAAAATTTATAAAACAAAATGTAGAAGAATACAAAGGGAATTAGAAACATACAGAGTAGAAATTTTTAATATAGCTCTATTTTGTCATGATGAAAAGTAAAAAACTAAGTACCTGTAGAGGACTTAACCAAATTAATAAGACATATTATTAAACTTAAGTTTAAATCTACCTTATTAATACCTAATGAATAAGGAAGATTGATTCTATATTCTGAAATTAGATAATACATCTCCTTTCCAAGGGCCTATGGAATAATCACAAAAACTGATTATATATTTAGAACTCAAAGGAAGCACTGACACCAAAATTTTAAAAAGATGCTAGATTGTCTTTTATCAACTTGGCATCACCTCCATCTCTTGGAGAAAAAAGAAAAGGACTACTCTTCCCAGAGTCACCTGCCCTGTAAGTGTTCTGGGTTAGAGATAGCCAAGTGAGAGGAGCTCTCATGAGATTTTGGAGGTAGAAGGGAAGCAGAGATCATTTGTCTCCAGATACAGTGCAATCAGACATTGGGACAGGTGAGAGATTCACGATGACTTCTTGGTGATAGCTTGAGAACCACCATTTTGTTGTTGCAGAATGGGAGCTTTCTCAGAGTTCCTCAGACTTTCAACAATTTCCAAATAAGAATCTGAGGATCCCCTACTTTCATGCTTTAGACTTGGATCTTCAGTGTCTGCTTTCTGGACCTTCCAATTGCAACTTTCCTGGTCTTCTGCAGTGATTCTGTTGACCTGCTCCACCAGCTTTCTCAGCCTGGATTGCTATATTAATTCAAATAATTCAAATTAACCTTTAGTCAAAGTTATCAATCTTTTGAATAACGGATAGGTGTTGTTGGCCTACCCAGAACTAATTTCTGTATCATCCAATAACAGGCTCTCATTTTCATTAGGAATCCACCCCTACCTCCTTGCAGTATTATTGCAATAATAATTCAAATAATTCAGATAATTCAAATAATTAAAAATTAAAATAAGCCCAGATTTCTATAGTAACTCCTGGGATACTTAAGTGGCTCTGTTTTTCTGAGTGAACCCAGATTGATGAGCACAAAAGATAATTAAAGCTAGATTGTCATGTGAATATAGACATGAGCATTCTAAATAAAATATTAGCAAACAGAATTATTCATATTTACAGATGTTATACCTGGAAAACCAAAGAAAAACACTGAAAAACTATTAAAAATAAAAACACTTAGTAAGGTGGCTGATAAAATTAATATACAAATATTAATATCTTTCTATTGTTTCTGAGAACAACCAGATTGAAAATATAGAGGTCAACAAACTTTCTGCTGTAAATGGCCAGTTAGTATTATTGGCTTTGCAGGCCGTACAGTCTGTGTTATGACTACCCAGTTCTGCCATAGACAACATGCCAGTGAATGGGTATGGTTATTTAAACTTTATTGCAAAACTTTATTTGCAGAAACATCCAGTGCACTGGATTTAGTCCACAGGCCATAGTTTGTCTATCCCTGATACAGAAAGATGGAAGAAAAGGCCACATTTAAAATAATAAAAAATATATTAAATAAAAACAAGAACAAACTTCAGAAATATACAATATTTATACGAGGAAATCTGTTGAGGGACATAGTAGAAGATTAGAATATATGGAAAGACATATGCTGGTTTTGGATAGGATGACTCAACATTACAACGATGTCAAGTCACCCTACATTAATATGTAGATTCAGCACAACTCCTGATGCATAAAATACATTTAAATAAACAATATCTTTAATATTTAATAGTGTTTTAGTAAAACATAGACACAGCAAAAAGGAATAAATTAAAAAAAAAACATGTCTCTGCCAAAAAGTACAGACATTGGGGAAAAAAATCAGGTTGGCTAAACACCAACTGGCACCAGCAAGATAGAATAAAAAGGCAATATCTAGCTTTTCATAT